ATTCCTGACTTTTGGTATGCTGTTCCTTTATCATAATATCATGGTCATGTCAGGGTAGGCAGCAGTGTAGTGTAACTAAGAGCCTAGGAAGTACGTACAAGGAAAACCAAGTTAAGTCAAAATATGTCTTGAATATTACAGACTGTCGCTTCAAGGTCAGTCGAATTGACCGACCTCGTAAACATTTTGTACTCATGCATTTTACAGTGTAACATTAAATTTTAATGCTGAAAGTCGTGTAGGAATGATCTATGTATAGCTGTATCATCCCTATATTTTTCTTTGCATTCTTTTTTGGCACTGCCATCCCTAACATCATTTTATATTTGTAAAATATTTTTTTATTATTTGTGATAATTGAAGGTCTTCTATAATCTGGCTAGATGTCAATAAAAGAATTTGACAAAAGTCAGAGTAAATCGGACTTAAAAGTAAGCACATATCCTCATAACAGCGAGTCACTGTTTCAGTATTTAATATTAACTTTCGATCACAGAAAGCTACCTACTTCGATCATCCCCTCAGTGGCACAGTGGTATGTATGAGGACTTACAATGCTAGAAATAGGGTTTCGACACCCGAGATGGGCAGAGCACAGATAGCCCTTTGTGTAGCTTTGTGCTTAACTACAATCAAACAATACTTCGATCAAAAATTAAAATCAGCCCGATAACTGATAGAGTTAGGAACAAGTACGCTACTGTTTCCTATTTCCGTGTTAGACACGTTTAAAATGACCTATCCAAAATAAGACGAAAATATCTTTTAAACAAATGAAGTTGATAACAGCTCATTACTTACATCCCGAAATAAGTTTTATTGTTAGGTAACTTTGAACCATCAATCTCCAAAATGAACAAGATCCTACTGAACTTCCACAACACTAAATAAGCCGCTGTTATTAGATGTTATATGTTATGCATGCTAAAATATATAAATTGTGAATATTTAGAACCTTGAAGTTCGCCATAAGACATTGCTGTGATTAAAAAACACTAATATCCCATCAAATGAAACCCCCTTAAAAATTTGACAGATAAACAAAACAGTTTTGACAACTATTAATGAAATGCATTAATACATATTTCGGCCAAAAAATTAATAGTTTGACATGCAAAATAATTAATCAGTGTGAAATTGTTTTGTAAGTTATGAAAAAATCGGAAGAAAAAACTGTCTGGTGAAAAATACGAGAAGACAAATAATTAGAAGCAAGAATACAAAGCTTTGTGGCAAGAAATATTTATTTAAGTGCAGTGACTTTTAATAATTATGCAAACATAATACCGTCCGCAAAGTCTTAAGGCGATACACCACAGATAAATAACATGCAATTGAATAAGTAATTATAATCATCCATCGCTATTATGAAAAAATTACTTAATTTAAAAACAAAAATGGAGAAAATACAGCGAGTTTGGGTTTAGACAGTGTCGCGTGATGTGATATCAGAAAATTAACGTATTGATTTTTACAAATGGGCCAAGATAGGTAGGGACAAGTAGTATAATAGGCAAAAGCAACGTTAGCGATTTAATAATGGACACAGATGTTATATACGTTATATGTCAAGAACTAGAAACGGAAACCTTTAACTAAAACAGTGAAACCAGACAACATTTCTATGTTTCACTTCTACCTCATTCATATCTCAATCCATGGATTTGTTTGATTTTGATTTTATCTGAAATAACTCAAAATACAATATGTTCGACCTCCAAATCTTTGATTATGTTATTCAAGTAAACTGATTATATATATATAAAGAGTAGATATAAATAAGTTGAAAGTTTTAATGTTTAATAAACTGAAAATTTCTTTTTAATTTTATATTTTCAATCGCCACACAACATACGATACTTAAAAGCATTTTCAGGCACACTAGTGCAGAAGTAATATACAAACAAACGCACATTAATAGCGCAGTTGTAAATATGTATGCTTCACCGATCACGTATACATAAATATGCAGAAGAATGAGGAACGTATTTATATTGAGATACTTCGCTAAGCCTAAAGGACAGACAGGAAGTAATTAACGTCGGTATCATACGTTGGCAATCTACCAGGACAGAAATACAGCAGTGAAGTAGGGGAAACAGAGGGTTAAGCTTCCATGATGGGTAATCCGAGATAGCATGTAGTGTATAAGTATTGCATGCAAACAATACAGCTCTTTCAGTAATGAACTATTTTTCACCCCCAGATGTCGCTCGTGCAAGGTCAACTTCAAATTATTATCAATTATACATTATTTTGTTAGTGAGTTATTCATGTTAATTGGATATTCCTTCTAATGTTTAAAAGTTTAAACATTATTATTGTATTAATTCATACTTGCTATACGTGAGTGTGTGAGGAATCCAAACACATTGGGCAAAATATGAAAAACAAAACAGCCATATATTATATATAGAAAGACAGACAGACGGACAAGTGGCTATCTAGACATCTGATATATAAAAGACATCAGTAAAGTGCTCTAACAGACAGACAAGTACATATAAGCAGATATACAGTTACCGAACTAATAAATAACGGCTAGAAGATATGGATAATGCATGATTAAAATTAAAACATGTGAATACGTACATAAAAATAAAAATATAGGCAGCTAGACGGAAAGGTAACTGGTAGACTGAAGACTAAATCAGGTAAACAACAAGTAAAGAGTCTTTAGATAAATAAGGCTGTTGTGTATAAATACAAATATGTACTAAACAAAAAAATAATAATTTGGAATTTATAAAACTCTAACCATAACAAGGCAAACACATAATTGTAAGCTAAAATCTACACTACTTAGACGATTTTAAGTATAGTATCTGATGATTTGGCATGCGAATTGAAATACGCGTGATTGGTCATTCAACCTATCTTTCCAAATGAAGGTTTGATAGAAACGATTTTCTATGTTTACAATTCAAAACATTTAATTTTAATATGGAGTATGGTCACTGAGAACAACATGGGCAGCCTGGCACCAACACTGCGAACTTAAAATAAGAATGTCAGTAAAGTACTAAAACATATTCAACCACCTCTCTAAAAGAACTATTTACTACGCCATCTTTAAAGTTGAAAATCATGCAACTAATAATTCAAGAACATCAAATACATGCTCGATTGGATTGAAATTTGGGCTACCCCATCTTTTTCAAGAGAAAATAGTGTCTCCACGTTTAAAAGCAAAGAATTTCTAGAAGAATGGTTCTGTTATTTTGCCGTTAAGACAATATCCCAAGTTTGATGGTAATGAGTGTCTTGAAGGATGGTCCTGTTGTTCTTACATTAAGAGAATATCCCAAGTTTGATGGTAATGAGTGCCTTGAAGGATGGTTCTGTTGTTATAACATTAAGAGAATATCCCAAGTTTGATGGTAATGAGTGCCTTGAAGGATGGTTCTGTTGTTATAACATTAAGAGAATGTCTCAAGTTTGATGGTAATGAGTGTCTTGAAGGATGGTTCTGTTGTTATAACATTAAGAGAATGTCTGAAGTTTGATGGTAATGAGTGTCTTGAAGGGTAATTCTGTTGTTATAACATTAAGAGAATGTCTCAAGTTTGAAGGTAATGAGAGTTAAGAAAAATGGTTCTGTTATTTTAAAAGTGGATGTGGATGTTATTACTGTCCATTAGGCTGAAATCAAGGACAGTTGTGCCATCGTATGGCAGCAAAGAGGGTCTTAGAGTGTGGTTTTAATCTTCAGCATTAATGGCACCATTCTGCAGGATGTAGAGGTCGGAACCTCCACTAATTCTTATTTTAATTCACACCAGACTTCCACTATTAACACATGCTTCACCCTCCTGTACGAAAATGAGGTTGGATCCAAGTATACATCTACTGTCTGTCTCCAGAATGAAAAACAACCGATTTGTGAATTCACATATCATTAATCCACTGTTGTTGGAAAGATGTTTTGTGCCTTACTCTGATCACAATGTCTGTTGCTAATAATATGAAAACTGGCATGGCGTCCAGTTGCGGCTTCGAAATTATAATTTAGTCTTGTTATAGGTATTCTACAATTAAGCGAGTCAGAATCGACAAATAAGGTTCGTCGCTTTTGCTAAGCAGTTTGGTGCACTTTAAAGTCTGTGATTCATTTGAAACTGACAACTGAGACAAAATGACAAATTATTTGCATTTCATATCACATGATTGATCGTTAGATGCCTGATTTGCATAACATTGAGTTGAAGGGCTATTTGAAATTTTTAAAAAGGTGGTTTTTCCATTGCTGCAATATCACAAACACCAATTATCTGTGCCTCCAGACTTACAACACAAGAAACCGGATTTCGATACCTGTGGTGGGCAGAGCAGAGATAGCCCATTGTTTAGGTTTGTGCTTAAATTCAAAGAAAAGAAACAAACCGATTATCCGTTGTTTTGTGCAGCGTATATAAACAATGAAATTACAATAGCTATGCAAGTAGATAACTGACAGATAGGAGGTAAGGGTAAAAAAAATATTCAGTTAAGAAGACAAACATACACACTAAACAATGGCTACTAATATACAGCTAACTAATATACAGAATACAATCAAAAAGATATTTAGACAGTGAATGTAACAGGCATATAAAAATAAAAATAACGAGAGACATACCAGCATTCAGGCGCATTTATTTTCAATATGTTACCGCTCATCATCAGCTTTAAAATACATGTCGAAAGTTTATTTACATTATAACATTAAACTCGAAATATCTACGTACCATACAACAAGAAATGCGGAGGTTCGTGACAAAATTTAAATTTTTGCGACATTCTTACAATCCTCTGAGCCTGAAACTCCTAACTTAAATATATTAAAAACACCGTTGATTAATTGCTAACTAATGACACCAGGTGTCATACTTTAAAGTGTTAACTTACTTCTTAAACATTTATGGAGTCATTATGCCTAACAGTAACCTTTAACTGACGAACCGAAATTAGAAGTACCATAGATGAGTCAGAAAGGTCTACGTAAGCAAGACTATACTTACACGTATGTACGTAAAACATACTCATGTATAAATATACTGATGCATACATTGGACTACTCCTTCCATCATAGATATTCACGTGCCTCTAGCGCTTGAGCCTCTTTTCCTGCCCGTGCCAAGTAATCAAGGAGAGTGGCAGTCTTATTTTCCTTTAAAGAGTGAAGAAATGATTAGTTATGACACAGCTACGTGGTTGTAACTCGTGCGCTCGTGCGACGCAGAAATTACGCCAAGCTACCCTGGGACATTCATGAATTTCCCTTTTCTTCTTGAAAATATAAATATGCAACAAATACTTTGTACATATATTTATTTGTCAAAAGAACTCGACCAAATTAATGAAGTTATTATACTAACTGCCACGAAAGCGGTATTTTGTTCTTCTAAATCAGTACTCTATTGGGGGCTGGAAATCGTTTCTCATCAATATTTCTACTCCCATTGTAACGCATACTCTCAGACATTGCATACGAAGTAAACAGATATATAATACGTTGGATTTGAAACATGAATGTTGTTATTGTTTGTTATTAAGCACAAAGCTACACAAAGGGCTATCTGTGCTCTGCCCACCACGGGTATCGAAACCCGGTTTCAAGCGGTATATGCTCACAGACATACCGCTGTGTTACTGGGGGGGGGCATTGAAACATGAACCTACGATCTTTTGTATTCTTAGAATAAAAACAATTATTTTCATACAGTAGATACATGAGACACCATTATATTTTAACATTCAATTCACTCTTTTAAGATATATTTACATATATTCGATATAAACTCCACTTTTTACATCAGGATGCCATTTCGTGTTCACACTGCACCAAACTTGCAGGAAAATAAAATCAAATAAAAATTATAATATAAACAATACTTATGGAAAAATACTTTTTAGCACTTAACGAAAGCATGTGACTTTCTCAGACCGCTGCTCTACGATAAAGCATGCACTTGCACTACCCTATCATTTTACAGTGCACGTGTTGTCTGTTCCAGCCCACGCATATATCCCCTACTTCTATTTCGTTAAGTTAGACTTTTCACCACGTGTCACTTAATTAGAGTATATGCCTCGAAAAAGTATCCATTTACTTTTTATTAACGAAATCTTCTTGAAGGACAACAGTGCACCTACCCCCCCCAAAAAAAAATATATAAAGAGATTGACTGACCACATACAAATAAAGAAAAAAGTCTCATTATTTTCGAAATGAGAAAATCGTTACGCGAGAATGGACCTAACCAAGATTACTCGTCTTTCCAGATCAAAATAGCAGATAACATTCTGACCTAATTTGTTACATAAAGAAACGTTTTTATGGCAGAGAACGATACTTTCGTTCTAATCTCATGCGTTACACATAATGGAACGTTTTCATAACAAATAATCACTGACGTTCTGATCTAATTCGCGACATAATTGGACTTTTCTATAGCAGAGAACAATACTGACGTTCTAATCTCATGCGTTACACATAATGGAACGTTTTCATAACAAATAATCACTGACGTTCTGATCTAATTCGCGACATAATTGGACTTTTCTATAGCAGAGAACAATACTGACGTTCTA